TTATATAAAAAAATATATTCTATATTATAAATCATTTGACAAAAACTCTTAAAAACCATTTTTTATGTGTAAAATACTGTTTATTAATTCATATTACTTAAAACTCAAGATTACAAGCAAATTGTGCGTATGTACAACTTATATTAAAGTTCCATATTTGAATTCGTGTAACTAACTGCAGATAAACACAATCAAATACAGGATAAACATCTCATTTTAATTATAAAATATCTAAAATATAATTAGGATAATTATTGAGTTCTAATAGAATACTTAATTATTATCTTTAAAAAATATTTTATTAAATCAAAAATAAATTAATTCGTTTTTAAACTTCAATTAAATTATAATAAAAAAATAAATTAAAGAAATTGCAAAAAAAAAACTTATTGATAGTTAATCTGATACTGATATTGTTTATTTTTTTCAACATTTTATAATATCTTCAAATTTATATTTCATATTCAATTTTATTTTTCTCAAAATCACATAAAATCGTATTATAACATCAATAGACCCAAAATATAAAACGAAAGATTAGAACAAAATGTACATTGCTGCATTGTGCGGGTACCCTTCTAGTATATATATATATATATATATATATATATATATATAGAGCGAGACCGAGAGAGAGAGAGAGAGAGAGAGTGATGTTATATACATTTTTACTTATGTCAGAATTATGTCAAATCATATGTTAAAATATAAAAAGTAAGTATTGATGTTAATGTATGTGAATAGTAAATAAATAGATACAATGCCGATGCATTTAACAATATATAAGAGTGCATTTAGTTTGTATATATACATATATAGATGAGGTTTCAAATAGAAACCATGCAATTGTGACAAACCATACAACCCAAATTGAGATACTTATGTAAATAAGAAGAGTTCATTTATTATGATATGAATATTTATTGAAGATGATTAAAATTCTTTAATTATGATCAACGTTATATATTAAGAAACAATTAGAATATCTATGAAACCAAATATTGATTAGACTAGATCGACAATTAAGATTAATTAATTGTATGGTTTGTAGCAATGTGTTGATTTGCATAAAAACCTCCTATATATACGGCAAATCAAATGCAAACCTTTTAAATGTTGCAAACTTGCAAACCAATATTCATGGAAATGATAGAAGATTCATTTATTATGAGTTGAATATTCGCAGATGATGATTAGAGTTCATTAAGTATGATCATTGTTTTATATTAAAAAACAATCTTATGAAATCTTATATTCGTTAGACTAGACGAATGATTGAGATTGGTTTATAATATTTAGTTTCTTGAGAACTATTGCATCATGTGTTACTTCATATGATTTTTTTTTTCATATAAGACTAGGATTTAGAATATTGATTAACATATATATATATATATATATATATATATATATATATTCCACAATATAAATTTTAACCTGTTTGTAAAACAAAAGTTACATATAAAAAAGTTTTTTAGAACCCCGATTTAAAGGATATAGCTTAAATTGTGTTTATCATGTGAGAAAATGTCCACGAATCGTGCTTAGAGCTCCGAGCAAATTGTTTTCAATATAACTTGTGTTAATCGGAAATTTGCATCAGATTTAATTAGGTTCAATAGTATTTTAGACGTGTTTTTCCAAAAAAATGAACATCATTATTTTTATTAATATTAAATTCAATGTCGGTAAACCATCACGTTTTTTTTATTATTATAAGAATTATCACTTTATTTTGATGTTATTTGACATTTAATCCGACATTATAATCGTCCATCTTATTTGTCTTGCCTTTTTGTCGCTGGACTATTCAATCATTCACAATGTGGTTTATTTATAAGAGTGATAATTGGGTAACCACTTGGCTTCAATTACCAACAAGGGATCATGAATGTGACATGAAAATGGTCCACCGCAACTTGATGTCCAAATTAAGTAATGAATTCTATTAATAAAACCAAGAAGATGCAACAATGCCAATTGGGATATATGTTACACAATTAATAGTAAAAGAATATATATATATATATATATATATAATTGTGTATATAATAGACATAATTGTTGTTATAGGTTGCGTCTTGGTAAACACTGCAGCCTTGCGGTGACTATTAAGGTTTGGTTGCACCATGACACCACACCACGCCTAAAACCATTTTGAACCTTGTCTTATTGAGCTACTCAGACATATGGTGAGTTCGACGACGGAAAAAAACTGAATAAAAGATAGATCCTATAAAATAAACCACATATGGTGCTGAGTGACTAGCTGGTGAGCATGAAGAATAAACATATAGATTAAGGAAGAAGAAAACCCAGATTCTATTTCTTTAAATTAGTTACTATATTTTCAATGTGTACATATTTTTCACTTACTATTTTGGTTATTGAAAAGTCTCATCTAATGGTTGAGATTTCTTCTCATCTTCTTAAAATTTTAGGGTTTCTCAAAAATTTGATTAGAGAGAAAGAGGGATGATTTTATTTACAAACTCAACCGTTATTACAAACTAATGAATTGAAGTATTTATGAAAATAATGATAGTTCATTTACCATGATCCGAATATTCAAGAAAGATAATTAAATTTCATTTATTATATTCAATGTTTTATATCATGAAACAGTTGAGATATATTTATTAGACTAGATGGACAATTGAGAATTTGAAATGGTTTATACTAAATAGAGGGTTTGTATTTGAAGATCTCTCTCTATATACAAGGGACAAATCGAATGAGAACCACAAAAATGTTGAAAACTATAAAAATCAATTTCAACCACAACGAAGATTAATAAATGGTAAGAGTTATTTAGTAACATTTTTGTATATATGAGGTGATTCACATACAAACATTACTCTTAAAATAGAATAAAAGTGAATCTTCCCTTTTATCTTTTATTGCAATTATATAATAAGAATTAAAATTAAAATTAAGCAACGTCTCCTTTTTAAATCAAAAAAATATTAATTACAATAAAATTTAAATCAAAAAAATATTAATTACGATAAAAGTTTAGATAAAAAATGTATTAATTAACAATAAACTTTTAAACCTATAAATTTATATAAAAAATGAACATTTTATTTCTTTAATTTGACACAAGTGTAACACCCCAATTTCACATTTGTTTATAACCATATATTTCATATATTATGAAATACAAATTTACACATTTGATCCTAATATATACAAACAGCTACATTACAAAAGTAGCTACCAATTTTTTTAACATAATCTCAATACAAGACTTGTATAAAAAAACAAGTATTCAGGTACAATTAACATTACCTCTTCAAAGTTCCATATATGTAAGCAATCATGAATTCCTTTATAATTTTCTCTTTCCTTTTTCCTCAGATGTGTCCGACCTGTAATTCACATTTTGAAACACAAATGAAGGTTAGACCATGAGGTTTCGTAAGAAATCCCCTTTTTGATTGCTATTACAGGATGAAAATAATAAAAACACTTATATATATGCGTGTGTGTGTGTATGTGTAGACATGTTCAAACGGGAAAGTGGTCAATTTACGAGAATGACTTGTTAAGTTTTCAAGTCATATATGTAATCACATGTGATACAAATATGTTGCGTTGACCGACCATATGCCCGTGTCCTTTTGGACATGTATCATATGCGATTTTACTCTGTAATCACATTTAACATTGGAGGCCGAAACTTATCGTCTTCTTGCATGATCATCCTGACTATATACATACACACACAATTGTGCATCAATTGACAATGTTCTTGGATATCATGTTCAATTGATGATTTTAAGCAATGGCATGGGTTACCCTATAGAAGCGTCGGTGGTAGGTATAATTATGAGTATAATGACTAGCTATAAATTGAAGTTCTTTATCCTGATATAAATTCATAACAATTACATGTCGGTGTCCTTTTCAGGAATATTGTGTCATTTACACATGTACAATTCAGTTTCTATTAGAGATGAAACATCATCGTTGGAACTATATTTTAAAATATTTTTACAAGTTACAATATCAATTATATTGTTAAAATATTTTTTACATACAATAAAATGTTTTATTTTCTAGGTATTACAACTTTATAAGTTTTTATTGTGGTAACAAGTAATAATTTGTTATCAAATGATCTTTAGCCTAGCAGTAGTCCTTGTTCTCATAGCAGGTTAGTGGTTCAAACCTCATCAAAGATGAGGAAGATTTGGTGAAGAGGGTGTGTAACTCAACAAAGAATTTGGATGACGAGAGACATAACAGTGGGCTGTGGGTTGTTTCTATATAAAGGCCAAATTTTTTAATGTATTTGCATATGCAAATTAGCACTCACAAACAAAGAACTTGTTTTAGAGTCTGTTCATATAATCTTTAAAGGACCAAGAGATCTATATGGCTCTAACCGGAAAGTTGATTATGTACGTAGACATCACTTCACATGGAGACATATTCCATGAGATGTTTAGGCACAGAGTACACGACCTTGCTTCGATTTCCCCAGATCACTTCCATGGTTGTGAGATTGATGGTCAACCAGGAGCTGTTGGATCCATCATCTTCTTCAACTATACCCGAGGTATGTAATCTTCATCGTTCTACTGTTCAACCATAGTTTATTTATTCTCCATAAGTACCGTAGGAATCAAGTTATCATGACAAGTAATAAATTAAACTATTAACAAATAAGAATTGTTTCTTTTGCATGGAATAAAGACGGAAAAAAGCTAACAGCAAAGTCGATGCTTGAAGAAGTTGACGAGAAAAACCACAAGGTCGTGTTCAATGTGATTGAAGGAGATCTTGTGGAGGAGTTATACAAGTCTTTGAAGGTTATATTTCATGTTGAACCAAAGGGTGATGGGCAGTTGGCGATTTGGACACTTGAGTTTGAGAAAATGAATACAAATATGCCTTATCCAACTTCTTACATGGACTTTCTATTGAATGTTACCACGGACTTGGATTCCCATTGCACTAGTCACTAGAGGGTTTTCAAGTTCTCATTAAGCAATAGATCAAGAGGAAGTCAAGTGTCTGGCTAATTAAGCAAATAAAGAGAATTGAAAAATAAACCAGTGGTAGCTGTATATGGCTACATGGGGACATATATGTTTGCTTCCTTCCATGAACTGTTTAAGTGTATGGTTCAATTATCATGTGTTTGTAACGTTGTGTTTTTTTAATATTGTGTGTATTTTGAGGTCTTATAAGTGCCAAATGAGATTGTAATATGATTGTATGAAGATCGGTCTGAATCTATAAACACTGATGAGCCTTGTTGTCAATTAATTGTGCTCGTTTTAACAAAATTGGGTTGTCTAAAGAGTTTGTTCAACCAATGTGAAATTGTTACAATATGTTTTAGGACATTTTTTAATGTCCTAACGTCTTACTTTTTCACTTTTTTAGAACCTTTTTAAAATAAAGTATCGTATTAATTATTTTTTTATAGGGCACATTGAAAAATTGTACTATAAACATATTTTTTTCATTTTAGAGATTTGGCAAAAAAAATTATAAAATGGTAACTTTTAAGTGGCTTTCAAACAAACATTTTATAAAACTTGAATTTTCAACCTTTCATACAAATATATAATGGTAATAGAGTGATCACATCTCTATACGGTGCGAGCGGAGGTCTTGCCCCGGACGACGTTGTAATATAATATAGATAACAAATAGAAACATTTAAAAGAAATTACATTCAAAATGAACGAAAAGTCAACAATCTATAAATAAAAAATAGATTTTTTAATTTTTAAAGAATATAATATTTATTATATTGTTAAAATATTTTCTTATATTTAATAAAATATTATTTATTTTCTTAGCGATATATTTAATAACTGGGTGGGTTGTTTCTATATAAAGGCCAAAGGTTTCAATGTATTTGCATATTGAAATTAGCACTCACAAACAAAGAAGGCGTTTGGAGTCTGATAATATATAGTCTTTGAAGGAACAAGGGATCTAAAATGGCTTTAACCGGAAAGTTGATTATGTACGTAGACATCGCTTCACATGGAGATATATTCCATGAGATGTTTAGGCACAGACCACACGACCTTACTTCGATTTCCCCAGATAACCTCCATGGTTGTGAGATCGATGGTGAACCAGGAGCTGTTGGGTCCATCGTCTTCTTCAACTATACCCGAGGTATGTAACCTTCATCTAGGGGTGTTCAAAAAACCCGGAAAACCTAGAAACCGTGCCGAACCGTTAGAACTGAAACCGAAAAAACTGATAACTGAAAACCAAAAACCAAAAGACCGAGTATTCATGGGTCGGTTTCAATTTTGAATTTTAGGTATTCACGAGTGCTCGAACCGAACGGATATAATGTTTATATAATATTTAAATAACAAAGATTTATTTTATTTATTTTTTATTAACCTAAATTTAAATGAGTAAAAATATTTTAAGTTTTGCCATCAAACATTACAGTGAATGATTAAATTTGGCGGTCTGAAGTCTTGAAAGAGTCGACATCAACTGAAAGATAGTTGTTTTAAACTTATTTTACTTTGTAGAGTTTTGATTATTTTTATTTATTTATTGTGTAACTGTTTTAAATGTTTATATCTCCGTACCATCTTTTATATTGTAAATGATATATTTTTTTAAATTCGGGTAACCGGGGAGCAAACAGTGAATAACCGCCTTATTTCGGTTCACTTCAGTTCAACTACGATTCAGTTTCGGTTCGGGTAACCAGATATCTGCCTCTTGCAGTTCGGTTCACATTTTCTTTACTAACTCAACTGAAACCGAACCCTGAACACCCCTACCTTCATCGATCTGCAGTTGAACCATAGTTTCTTTTATTCTCCATAAGTATTGTAGGATTCAAGCTATCTCAAATAAATTAAACTATTAATGAACAAGAATTATTTGTTTTGCATGGAATAAAGATGGAAAAAAGGTAAGTGCAAAGGCGAGGCTTGAAGAAGTTGACGAGAAAAACCACAAGGTAGTGTACAATATAATTGAAGGAGATCTTGTGGAAGAGTTGTACAAGTCCTTCAAGATTATATTTCATGTTGAACCAAAGGGTGATGGGCAGTTGGCGATTTGGACACTTGAGTTCGAGAAAATGAATGAGACTATGCCTTATCCAACTTCTTTCATGGACTATGCATTGAACATTACCAGGGACTTGGATGCCCATCACACTAATCGCTAGAGGATTTGCAAGTTGAATGGATCAAAAGGAGGTTCAGTGTCTGCATTTAGGCCATTAAATATATGGCTACGTATCTGGGATTAAGCTGTTTTAAGTGTATGTTCTGATTATCATGTTTTTGTAACGTTGTTTTTTTAAGTACTGTTTGTATTTTGAAGTCTTGTGTAAGTGCCAAATGAGATTGTAATATATGATTGTATGAAGATTGTTAGTGAATCTTTAAACACCATGATTCCTGCAAATTAAATATCTAAATCGAAGTTTTATACATTATGTCTTTAAAATTGGTTAGTAAACATAATTTTCGTAACACTAAAATGATGTCAAATAACCATAAACTAATTAACTAATGAATACACATTTTAAAAACAGTCATACAGAGGTTAAAAAGTAGGGTCTGGGTTTTCTACTTTCATCATCGATCTATATGTTTATTCTTCATGCTCACTAGTCATTTATAGGATCTATTTTTCTTCAATTTTTTCTGTGAATATGGGAAATGCTTCCTGACAGATTTGAATATGGGAAATGCTTCCTGACAGATTTGACATACCAAGATTTATACTTTATGTATTCCTTGAATCAACCCTCATGCACTACAAAAATAGGAGTATTTGAGACGAAAAAATCCATGGTTGATCCGTCGCTAAAGGCTAATCTGTCGCTTATCCGTCGCTTATCCGTCGCTAATTGTCCGTCAGTCAAAAGTTCGTAGGTAACGCTATCAGCGACGGATTAGCCATGGATGTTTTGTGCGACGGAAAAGTTTGACGAATTTGCGACGGAGAAGTTTCAGCGACGGATTAGCGACATAATTCTTGTAGCGATGGATTAGCGAGAGAAATCTTTCAGTGATGGATTAGCAAGGGACCAGGAACTTTTAGCTATGGATTTTACGTCGCTAATCTGTAGCTAATTTTTAATAATTCAAAAATAAATAATTTATAATTACATAATTTATATATTTATTTATACAAAATCAGACCATAAAATTACAAACTAAAACTGTCAACAAACTAAAACTAACTGATTCATACGATTTAAAATACCCAATTCATACAATTTAAAATATCAAATTCATACAATCTAACTACCGAAAGGTGGGGGAGATGGTGAAAGTGGGAAAACGTATCCTGACTGCTGCATAACGTAGCAAAATGCTCTGATAATGCGATCTGACTGCTGCAAAGCTGCTGCCCTTACCAGGCATGAGGCTATCTCTACTACCATGAAGGCATCTACCATGCTCTAGGCGTGAAATCTCCTGAGAAAACAAACATTAAATTCTATTATGAAAAAAGATAATTACAAGTCACCATTATATGTATAATTGTGAAATAAGCATACAGAACAATGATCAAACAACGTTGATTCACCTTCGTCATTTAAATCATCATCTGTCTTAAAATTTGGTTCGTCACCACTATCTTCATTTCCCGGCATATCGTTGATATCATCGTCCGATCAGTCGCCACCTTCATCTTCATTAATATTATGGAGTACGTTTACCTCCCCCATGGCAATACAAACATTATCAAGCTCGTTTCCCAATGCAAGCGTTGTATGAGTTACCCTTTCATTGATTTGAAAGAATTGTTCTCCATCCGTATAATCATTGTCTTCAACATCGTTAATTATATCGGACACTTCATATATGTCACGAGCCTTTGTCTTAACAACCATCCACCAATCATTCAAATCTTTTTGTCATTGAAGGATATGAATTATAGTAGACTTGTTCTGCATGTGATGCTAGGACGAATGAGTTGTCGGGTCTAAGTCTAGACTTATATTTGATATCTAGCAAACTGTGTTTAGGGTCATCTCTAACCCCCGAGGCAGTGTGAAATGATGTGAATTTGAACACCACAACTTCCTGTCATACTAGCCCATAATAATGCACCTATATAATATCATCCAACAATACATAGAAGTCAAACTCACACTCATCATAGCAGGGCCCCCCTGACACAAATACCACTACTATGGGTAGCTTGACCAGATCCATAGGTTACCATATGGAACTTGTAATCATTAACAAAGTTTCGCTGACGTGTACATGTATATAACACACACTTTATCTAGATTCATATATACACATACATTTAAATATATATACAACATATATACATCATTTGATACATGTATCTTATAAACAATAAATACATAGTTCCATTCGTGGTTAGCAACTAACACACATATATACACATCGTGTATACATATGTATATAACACGGACATACGAGTATATATACATATAACATATACACATGTATACATATGACACATACACATTTGTACATATAACACACATATTATCTAGACATTCGTATATATATATATATATACACACACACTCACACACATTTATATATATATATATATATATGTATATGTGTGTGTGTGTGTGTGTATACATCATCCAATACATGTATCTTCAACAATATAAACATATATCTAATTATCACGGTTGGAAACTAACAGACATATATACACATCATATATACATATAACACATACCCATATATACATATGACACCTACACATACACATGTGTACATATAACACACAAAAAATGAAAAAAATAAGATATTTATGAAAATGATGAAGGTTCGTTTATTACAATTTAAATATTCATAAAAGATGATCAAAGTTCATTAATTATGATTAACACTTATATTAGGAAACGGCTAATGTATTTATGAAACCAGAAATTCRTTAGACTAGATAGATGATTGAGATTCGTATCTACRGTTTGTAACATTTCCATTTTTTGTATTTAATTTGTTTCTCTATGTACCCTATATATATAGGAAGGATCATGCGAGAAATTAATTAATTTGCGAGAAGGCGAGAAATTTCAGTATCATATATRATTACACTCTTTTTGGGTGTGTTTTATCATATATAATCAAGCGTCTAYGTRTAGTTAATGCAACATGTGTTAAATCATATCRATATCACACTCCTTAATTATCAAATTCATTAATTATCTTATATACTTTGTTTAAACTTCCTTAATTAGCTTATTCGCTTTCTGATTCCACCTATATATGAACTTTGATAGCTCTTTTTGGAACAACCAATGTTCATATATGAAACAATATTATGAACTTTAAACAAAAATCATTGTGTTACTTATCAACTTTCTGGTGAACAACCAATGTTCATACATAAAACAATGATTTTACTTATCAACTTTCCGTCGGAAGCTAAGACTTTACTACAAATTTTATTTTTATTCCTAGAACTCGAAAATGAGGATGATATAATTAATTTATACAAAACATTCGATGATCAGTTTTTAAATAAGCTTTGATTAATAAACACGATTGATAACGTGGAGTTCCAACTTGATGAACACGATGATAGTGTTGAGATCAAGCTATAGAAACAGGTGTCCATTTCGTTTGCCATATGTAGATATTCATCATAAGAATGAATTTAATTTGTATTTAAATTATATATAAATAAATAACTATAAAAGTATAAATCGTAAATATTAAAAATATTTTCACATTATATATAATATATAATAATATAATTAAGTCAAAAACTATTCAATATTGGACTCATTTCGAATGTATTAACGAAACGATTATAATGGTGTAACTTGTTAAAATAAAAATGTAATTTTTAAACATGTTTTAATTGATATACGATTATGTATGTTAATTTGATAAAGATTTAAAATGAAATATTTAAAAGTAAAGGACGGAAATTGAATTAATTAATTAATTATAGGGGTATAAAATGTAAATTTAAAACTATAATTTTTTAAAAATCGGTTGTGAGAGGGTGAGTGTATGTGAGAATGGGAGGGAGTGAAAAAGTGAGTATAAAGAGTATTTTGGTCATTTAGTATTTTAAAACTTTAAGACTTTTGCTAAATTTGCTTAATAAGATAGTATAGATAATAAATTCATTGTGGGTAAAACATCACGTTTATGTAGTTTTATTAATGATTATTATAATTACCACTTTACTTTATTTAAAACTTCAATGGTGGAATTATGAAACACCGGCCAAATCATATTTTCTGTGATAATCCATCTTATTTTTCTTGTCTTCTGTCGCTGGGCCATTGAATCATTTAGACCAAAAAACCATTTTCCTCCTTGATCAGTGATGGGACTGGTTTTTGCCTATCCCTTACAGATCTTTTGCTAATCAATGACGGATAGGACAAAAACTGTTTCTCTCGTAGATCCCTCCTATATTAAAGTAAAAACACTAAAAACAAAGATGTCATCATTTGTGGAGGAAAAAGCGGTCCATGAGGAGGAACCGATTGATGCTAGGTGGCATTCTACCGCTCCTTCCCAATGGGGATGAACAGTTCAGAACCAATTTGTCAGCTTTCATAAACCACTAAAAGAGTATTCGTGCAATGCAGCGACACATATTTTGGTTTTAATGTTCTATTTTATTATTTGTCTCTGTCGATGTTATGATACGATTTTATGTGTTTTTAAGAAATCAATAATGATTTTATTTTTGAATAAAATATAATCTTGAAGATATCATGAAAAATTGAAAAAAAATATATATATCAATGTTAATATCAAATCAACTATTTAAAAATTCTCATTTTTTATGTAATTTCTTTAATTTATATTTTTTTTAAGTTTAATAACGAAATAATTTATTTTTGGTTTAATAATATAATATTTTATAATAATAATAATTAAGTATTCTGTTAGAACTCAATGATTATCCTAATTATATTTAGATTTTTTATATTTAAAATTTATGTTTATCATGTATTTGATTATGTTTATCTGCAGTTAGTTACACAAATTCAGGTATAGAGCTTTAATAAATGTACTTATGCAGAATCTACTTGCAATCTTGAGTTTTAAGTAATATGCATTAATACACAATACTTTACGCATAAAAAATAATTTTTAATAGTTTTATCACACTACAAGATTAAAGGATTTTAGAGAAGGTTTTGTTTTGAGCTTAAAAGTATTAAAAGCTTCTCTAAAGGTTTTAGAGAAGCTTTTCAATTCCGTCACAATGCTTTTCTATATAACGGTAGGTAAAGGTTTTAGGGAGAGTTTTCGGAGGGTGCGCTTTTGTTAGCTTTTAGAGACGCTTTTTTGGGGGCTTTAGATACACTTTCAAAACTTTTCTAAATGTGAGTCAACTTTTTTCAAAAAGCTTCTCTAAAAGTATTTATTAGTGACGTTTTTCAAGTATTTGTGACGGTTTAGAAACGTCTCTAAAAAATACTTTCAGAGAAGGTTTACAAAAAAACTTCTCTAAAAGTATTTATTAGTGACNAAAATTATTTTTTTTATAATTTAATTTAATTTTAATAATAAAATAATTTATGTTTGGTTTATAAAGATAATAATTAAGTATTCTGTTAGAACTCAATAATTATCCTAATTATATTTTAGATTTTTTATATTTAAAATGACATGTTTATCATGTATTTGATTATGTTTATCTACAGTTAGCCACACGAATTCATATATGAGTTAGTTACTTACGCAGAATCTACTTGTAATATTGAGTTTTAAGTAATATGCATTAATAAACAGTACTTTACACATAAAAAATTGGTTTTTAAGAATTTTTGTCAAATGCTTTATAATATAGTATAGATATGATGTTAGCAATAAAAATCATCCTAAATTAAATGTATGTAGGGTTAGGTATTAAAAATAAGATAAGGGTTACGAATGTAACAACATTCATGCCCGATCTTGATAAACATTAATTGCCTTTAATGAAATTAATTGCTGAGTAGCTACTAAGCATTTTTTATACATGTCATCACTGCACCTGCCAGAGATACAAGGTGGGTAAGCTTGTCTTAATATCATTAAATGGAAATGGGTTCTGGATCCAGCTTCTTTAATTTGAGTGCTTGGATTATGTGGACTTTTTTTTGGGAATGTTAGAAAATATAAATATACATTTGTATTGTATAAATGTTGCGTTATATTGTCTAAATGTTATAATATTCACATGATTTGAATTGGTGTGTTAGAATTTTACATATGAATATCGTAACTTTGTTAATTTATGAAAAGATGTTTGTTTTCGTTAAAACCCAACCATGCATAAAAGGACGCGTTTGCATTTAAACCCTACAAATAATTTGAGAATGGATAAATCAAATGTTTCATGGATTATCCATGATTAATTACAAATTCTGAATAATGAAATTGTTTAATGACTAATGTCGTGATAGATATTTATCATGCAAAGCATTCATAATGTAAATATATGATAAAAAAAATACATTGTATTTGTGAGATTGAATGGAACTCAGTTAAGTTACTTTCCAAAAAAGCCTCTTGAGGAGAGAAGTGAATGACTAAGTCCGAGCATATATCAAAGAGAAAGTGTCGTAGTCTAATCAGTGTGAAACTCCAATAATATGAACGAGCATGATATTCATGATTATTTATGGTTATTTAATCATAAAATAATACATAAAATAGTTAGGAGACATTTACCTAAAAATCTTATCAGCAAAAGTCACCACCTTACCTTACCTTAACGGATAACACTATTGGCCATAAAAGTGGTTGTTGGTAAGCATATATATATACCCGGTAAATGTTTACCGGATAAAAATCATTACCCTCCTTTAACGAATAAAACTCTTGATCTTTATTTTTTTCTTTTAACAGATAAGATTATTAATGTTTGTTAAGGGAAAAAGTAATTAACGAAATTTAATAAACGGCCTTTAATTACTTTCCCTATCCACAAAATATTTTGTGGCCTCCACTCCCATTCCCTGCATTTGAAGGCATTATATATTTATGAAGGCTTACATTAACGCTGGAACAATCTTATCCATGCACTAATTAATAAAGCACATGCTAGCTGGAAGAATAAATTAACCTGTAAGCTTATCATGACATGTGAAATATCAATGATGTAACTATATATACTGAATGTAAATTAAATGCAACATTTTTAAATATTGCAACTAGTAAACATCAATAAAATTTAATCTCACTCGTAGATCATCCTCTCTTTTCGTTTTTAACTTTTTAAATATCTAACCGTCTTATTCTCAACTGCAATCGTCTTATCCTCAACCGTTGATTGTTTAATTGTATGGTGTATAGCAGATGAAGTTGCATTAGTTGCAACATTTAAGAGGATTGCATTTGAAAAGATCTCTCTCGTGCTCTCTCTCTCTCTCTCTCTCTCTCTCTCTATATATATATATATATATATAATATTTCTATACAGTGTTAGACTTCCGGTGAGAATGAGAGTAATGTGAGAAACTTAAGAAGAGATATCCACCTTAAGATGTACATTAGGATGAGATGTACCGAATCAATCCCCTATCAAACATGATGTATGAATAGGTTTGAGATTAAAGGTGATCAAGGGTTCAAATCCCTTCTTACGTTTCTCATCTTGACTCCTTCCCACACGAATTCTTCGCCTTTCTATATAAAGTCCAAAGTTTCTTATGTATTTGCACATTAATTCGATCAAATTTATCAGCTCTATCTCTTGAACAAACAAGTCGTTTATTAGTCTCTTAAACAATCAAGAGAGAAATGGCTGTAACCGGAAAGCTGATCATGCACCAAGATATCAGTTCACGTGGAGACTTATTTCATGATCTCCTTAGGCATAGACCAAACGACATCGCTACCATTTCTCCTGATAAGCTTCATGGCTGTGATATCCTTGAGGGTGAACGAGGAGCGGTTGGCTCCGTCATCTGCTGGGACTATACCCAAGGTAACTACATAATCCTAGCTTCTTTTAATTCTTCCATCATCTCTTGTTCAATCATAGCTAGCTTCTCTATTCTATTAATTCTCCATTAACTGCTGCAAGTAGGATTCAAATTATATATATCACAGATAAATTAATAAACTATTATAAACTGAACATGATCAAATCTCCTTCAATTTTGCATGGAAAGATGGAGAAAAGAAATCCACAAAGGAGATAATTGAAGAAGTTGACGAGACAAACCATATGATAGTGTTTAAGGTAATTGAAGGAGATCTTCTGGGAGACTTATACAAGTCTTTCAAGATCATATTTCATGTTGAACCAAAAGGTGATGGACAGTTGGCTATTTGGACCCTTGAGTTTGAAAAGCTGAATACAAGTGTACCTTATCCAACTTCTTTCATGGACTATCTATTGCATCTTACCATAGACATGGATGCCCATAACGTACAGCAGCCAATAGATGAATAATCTGCAAATTCTGGTTGAAAACATGGGATCAAGAGGGATCAAAGTTCCGGCATTTAGCCGATTAAATAAGATAAACGAATTAAAGCAACTTGAAGAATAACCGGTTGTAGCTATATATATATGGCTACTTGGAAACATATGTATTTCGATTACCCGCAGGGTTTGTCGTTGTTTCATTGTTTGTATCTGAAGTGTTCTTAGTGATTGTATGGTCGTATGAAGTTTGTGAATCTTTACATTCCCATGAGCTGGTCTTGTTTATGTGTACTATTATGTTTAAATTCATTATGGTGGCCATTTGAAATGTGGCATGGTTGGTTTATTTCGTTTCTTTGTTCATTATATGTATTTTAAATGGTCTACTAATTTTATATATGCATGCATATATAAGCCACTGTTAACGATGGTGATCGCAAATTAAGGCAGCTATCAGTTTGTAGCATCATGGGTAACGAGGCCTCAGTCATTCTCTCTCTCTCTCTCTCTCTCACACACACACACACACACACATATATATATATATATAGAGAGAGAGAGAGAGAGAGGCGGGTTAGATTACAAACCGACTGATTCGTGAAAACTATGCAAACCACTCTCGACCAATAGGAAATTTCCGTTTTTTATTCTTTAATTTTAATAAGTAAAGATATAATTGTCATTTTAGTATACTAGAAACGTACTCGCGCAATGCAGCGAGATACATCGTGATTTTAATATTTCATTTTATTCTTTATCTCAGTCGATGTTATAATATGACTTTAT